ATCTATGCTGAGACAGATTAATATTTGCAAGGAAAAAGTTCTTGAAAGAAAAAGAACATAACATTACAACATTGTTTTACATGAACAAATAAGAACAGAATATATTAAAATATCACAGAAAATTCACAGTAGCCGAAACCGGTTTGGCTCAGTGGTAGAGCATCGGTCTGTGGACTGAAAGGTCCCAGGTTCGATTCTGGTCAAGGCATGTACGTTGGTTGTGGCACATCCCCGGTAGGGGGTGTGCAGGGGGCAGCTGGTCGATGTTTCTCTCTCATTGACGTTTCTAGCTCTCTGTCTCTCTCCCTTCCTCTCTGTAAAAAATCAATAAAATATATTAAAAAAAGAAAGAAAATTCACTGTATTTCATTATGAAGAGAGTAAAAAAAATTAAAAAAAATAAAATATATAAAATGAAAATACTAGAGGCCTGGTGTACAACTCTGTGCACAGATGGGGTCCCTAGGACTGGCTGGTGATTGGAGCCCACCGGGGCCTGCCAGCCAGGGGGAGGGACTGCAGGAGGTTGGTTAGCTTTGAGAGGTTGGCTGTGGGAGTGCACTGACTATCAGGGGGCAGCTCTTGCATTGAGCACCTGCCCCCTGGTGGTCAGTGTGCATCATAGTAACTGGCTGACGGTAATATTGGTGACCTAGGCTCATATATATTATATATACACCCACAGACACACACATACACATAAATACACACATAAATAACTTATCCATTTAAAACATGATCAGTTGAATGAGATCTGTATTAAGTCTTTGAAAATAATCAGTTTGTACTTCAAGGCAGACTGCTTAAAATTGAATCAATAAGCTGTCTAGCATCAGGTTGATTGTAGAAGATGATAGGAATTTTAACAAAAGGGTTATTTGCTTTCATTTTACACTTAAAGGCCAGCTCAGAATACAACTCTGCCATGCTATTTGAAGAAATACTCATTTACCAGAATCGAGGAAAGTACAGATCTCCAGATTAAAGAAAAAAAAAATCAATCAACAGAAATCTATACCTGAAAGGCCTGAATTCTTTGTTTAACGATGACAAGGCAATCAGATGAGGGCATTCATCTTCATACTCTTCAGAGCCCATGGGGCTTCCTCCTTGACCTCTCTTACCATCTTGCCTGGTGTCATTTTCAGTGTTGTTTTTATCCCCAGAAAAATGAGTTACAGAATTGTTTTCAACAACCTGCCCTTTTACTTCTTCTAAAGCTTGATTGAATTCAGTCATGTCAAAATCGTGTGCATCAGCACTTTCCTCCGACACATCGTCTTCCTTTATGTGTTCAAGGTCCCCAGGCAATCTGCCACAGCAGTCACCTGATTCACTGGCAGAGTTTCGTTCCCTTTGATTTTCTGATCTACACACCTCTGCCTGTTCTGATACCTCTTCATCAGAAAATGGAAGTTCAGATCCTTCCTCTGTTTCAATATCACCTGGACCTACTGGATGAAGGAGTTCATCATCTGCCTGCATCTCCTTTGTGTAGCCGCTGGCAGAAACCTCTACATCAAGAGAGTCCTCCCTCCTAGTAAAAGAAATGTCAAGCATTCGGAAGTGAAAACCTATTTGATATGGAGAAATATTTATTACTCTGAAAAAAATGTGATTCTTAAGTGAGTACTTTAATATTTTCCTTTGCCTGAAATGTAATACTTAAATTACTTAAGTATACAAATATAAAAAATACAAGCTGGCTATTATTTACAAATAAAATAATATGACTGTGAAAAGTAATAGATATTAATAGAAAGGCCACAGAAACTTCTGTTGGTTTTTACCGATTTAATAAACTAACTTTCAACAGCACCTGAAGATTTCTTCTTTTAAGTTATGTCAATTATCCCAAGTGAGAAAACAGTATTTTAACTAAGGGTGTAAAATAAGTGAGAAAAATTGGGTTTCAGAATGTATTTATAATTATAGATAGCTCCAGTTCTGAGTAAAGGAAAAACACAAATTCTGATAAACACTTGGCTTGATTCCTTACAAATGGATTATACATATAACATCCCTACAATGAATAAAAGTTCTTGAATTTATAAGCAACTAGGTGTGTTCTTCCCCCCAATTCAGTAATATTGTCTTAATGGATAAAAACCAGGTAGTTTTTAGATTTTAAGATTCATTTATATATTACACAGCTGACACTCAACAACGATTACAATATGTCAAGCTCACTATTTCACCATATTTTAGATGATTCTGTTAACTTTTAAAACTAAATAAATCAGGTATTAAACAGAGTTCTAGTTTTAAGCAATGAGAAGTACAAACCTGATATCACTAAAGATTGGATAAAGCTCACTTTCATAGCTGAAACGTTTCATGAAGAAATCTCTAATGCATTTAACATCTCTGTCAAAATACCTGCAAAATAAAGAATCAATTTTTATACAGGTTTTCATTTTTCCTTATTAGTCAATGACAATATCCTTAGTATTTGTTGTTATGACACTTCTACTCCTTACATGAAAAAGGATGTTACTTAAAAGAAAAATAAAAGAAAAAAACTTGGAAAGTTTGAAGAACTAAAAGTAAAAGCAGAGGAACTAAGAAGAAATAAAAGCTGTCAAAGGCACCTATGGTTAGAAAACTCAAGATTTCCCCATATGCAACATAAGGTTTTCCTATAATGCAATAGGATGAATATGTATCTCAGGAAAGAAGGCCTATAATTTGGAGGCAGCGGGTTTCTTCTGCAGGGGTGGGGAGCATCCAGTCTGAGGGCCATGTGAGGCCCACAAAATCATGTGGTCTGACCAATATTTTAGGGGTGAGTTAATTAAATGTTTGACCAAATATGGCAGGCTAATTTTTAAATTGATATTTTGTGCTTAACAGAACTCCTTCACTCAATTACTTGTTCATAAAAGTTCAAATTAAATTACAATGCATTCAAGAATAATGCAGACTTAACTTGGAATGTCATAATCTGTTATATTTCTGTCTCTAATTCTGTGGGTTCCTAGATGTTCCTTTATTGTGACTAAGCTGTACCACTTTAATAAGAATGGTAACTTGTCATCATCCAAAGATATATTAACCACCCAAGTGGCAGGCATTAATCTATTAGTATTGTTTTGTTGGGAATATTCAAGTTTACTTTTAAATGACATTTCCTTCTCTAGAGTAAGTATAGATATTTTCTAATAAAAATCAGGAGGAAGAAGAGCTTTACTGAACACAAACTGGTTTAAGCCCAAACTTTGCTCATATTATGTAAGTGATAACAGTTATCTTTGGGGAAAAGGAGGAGCTTCTCATTTTATAACTTGGAAGGAGAAGATAAAAAAAATACCCTTAATTGAATTATGCTCCACTGCATCACGGAATACAAATAAAGATATTGTCATATTTCACAATTTGGCTGGTTTAAATGGTTAAGCAATGTGAGGAATAAGATTATGATGGTACACAAAGTGGCTCTGCCCTGTGTCAGGGATGAGGTTTTATGGGAATTCTTTTCTAACAATAAAACAAAGGCTAAAAATGACATGAGAGATATTGGTTTGACAACTGAGTCCAGTCCAAATCCATAACTTTTTTTAAAAAAAATATATTTTATTGATTTTTACAGAGAAGAAGGGAGAGAGACAGAGAGCTAGAAACGTTGATGAGAGAGAAACATCGACCAGCCGCCTCTTGCACACCCCCTACTGGGGATGTGCCCGCAACCAACGTACATGCCCCTCACCGGAATCGAACCCGGGACCCTTCAGTACGCAGACCAACGCTCTACCACTGAGCCAAACCGGTTTCGGCCAAATCCATAACTTTTATGAAGGCCATCAATATTATTAAGTTATGCCTGGTGAAGCTCTCTTGGAAGCAACCATGGAGAAGGGGAAAGGCAGAGAAGATGGGGTTCCTTCCATGTCCCTACTTTTGTTTGTTTTAAAAACTGGGCTTCCACCTAAATGTTGGTTTGAATAAAGGGTTCCATGACAAAGAAAATTTGAATTTTGAAAGTCTGTCAGATTTTAAGAGTAATTCAAATTGTTTTAGTGGATTATAAAGGCAGGCAGTTTCTTCAGATGTCTAAAACACACATAAGCTAATGAACAGGTTTTAAAAACTGGATCAAAGTGCATTTCCCTTTAAAATAATGAGGAATAAGATTCTTTCAGGGGAAATATCTTAATAGTTTGATATCATTTAATATTAAAAAACCCAGAATTTTAGACCACTAACATCAGCCACTTCCAAATAGTTTTTGACCCAAATGACAGCATTATAAAGTTGGAAATTATAAATAAAAAATGATCGCATCACAGATAAGCACACCCACATTCACAATCAATTTCAGCATATACCATTCAGCATTGGGATGAGAAGTTGAAACCATTTGTGGAAAATCAATCATGGTGATGTGGTCATCTTTATCCAAAATGAGATTGAATTCATTGAAATCTCCATGAATCAATCCATGATTTGCAAGTTTAACAATTAGTTCCATGGCTTCATCATACACTGATGCAGGATCTTCAACATGGTGTATCTGACATCTGAAAATATTTTAAGTATAATGTGTGTATACATTATTTCCATTATTGTCTCCCTGTTCATTACCATCAGCATTTAGACACAACAGCTTTCATCACTTATTAAAAAAAAAAAAAAAGGAACATCCTGCATAGATTTTTGTGTTTTCTTTTCATAGTCACATCCTTTCTTTGATCTTCTTTACAACCAAACTCCTCTACATGTGCTTTCTCCAAATCTTTTCCCCAGACTCTAACAAACCATTTTTTCATCCACCTTGTTCTAATAAAACAGTCCTTGTTAGACTACCAATGACTTCTATGTTGCTAAAACCAATGGCCAATTTTTAATTTTCATCCTTTTTGGTTTTCCGATTAACGTCTTCCCTCTCCTTGAAACACTTCCTTCCCTTGACTCCTGGTATTCCAACTCTTTGGGCTGTCCTCTGTCCTCTGTCCACGCTAATCATTTTTCTTAGTCTTTTCTGCTAATTCTCCTCCCTCCCCTCCTCCCCCCAACTTTAAATTTTGGAGTTCCTCAAAGGTTAATCCTAGAGCCTCTTATTTTATCTTATTTCTTACTTAAAATCACTCCGGTGATCTCATTCAGGTTCATGGCTTTAAACACTACACACACACACACACACACACACACACACACACACACATTGACTTCAATCTAGATTTCTCCTTGAACTATTATGTATCTCAAACTTACTATGTCCCAAACTGTAACTCTGATTCTGCCCCATCCTCTAACTTCACACTGTTCTTTAGGTTTTCCAGCTCATAAATGTCAGCTTTATTTCAATTAAGTCATGATTCAGGTCCAAAACTCAGTTATTACCTTTGACTTGCACCTTCCTTCATATCAATATCTAACCCTAAAAAAGTCATGCTGGCTTTTCCTAGAAAACATCTCTAGAATCTGGCCACTTTTCGTCACCTTGACATCTATAACTGATCTAAACTACCTGTCTCTTGACTGGATGATTACAATTGTCTTCTTAATCTGTCCTTATTTTCCTTTCAGTCTCTAGACTCAATAGAGCAGCCAGTGATTCTATTAACACATTAATCAGGCCATATCTATTCTCACTACAAAACCGTCCTATGGCTTCTTATCTCAATCAAAATTAAAGTCCTTGTGCTAAATATCACTACAATGGAAATCAAATCACAATATATATAAAAGTATCAAATCAATATTAATACTATAATTTATATCATGTGTCAAATATATTTCAATAAAAAAATTAAAAGCCCTTGAAATGACCCACAAATTCTAGTGATTTGATCCCCTGCTGTCTTTAGGATCTTATCACTTATAATTTCTCCTTTACTCATTTGGCTCCAGCCACAATGACATCAACCTCACCAAGATTCTGGGAATATTTCCACCCCATGGATTATGCACTTGCTGTCCCCTCTGCCTGTAATCTTCATAGATGTATTCATGATTCCCCCCATTTCATTCAGGAGTCTTATCAGTGAGACTTTCCCTGAGCACCCATTTAAAACAACAATCTCTTTTATCCATCTCAGTCCTTCTTATCCCCTTACCCTGCTTTATTTTTACCCAAAGCTTTTACTACCATCTGATATATACATATGGAGCAAAAGTAGGTTTACAGTTGTTAGTATTCACAATAGTTTATTCTTTTTCTTTCAATGTTTTCTTTTTTTTTTTTTTTAATTGATTTTAGACATAGGGAGAAAGAAACATTTGTCCGCTGCCTCTTGCATGCCCCCCACTGGGATGGAGCTTGAAACCTGAGCATGTGCACTGACTGGGAATTGAACCCGAGACCCTTAGTGCATGTGATGATGCTCAACCAACTGAGCCACACCAGCCAGGGCACAGAGTTTATTCTTGTATTGTTATTTATTTTCCATATGAACTGTAAACCTATTTTGCCCCACCCTATATTTTCTTACTTAGCTATTTACTATATATTCTCCTTCCATCAGAGTGTAAGCTCTGTGAGGGAAGAGATTTGGTTTACTGCTGAACCTGGAACAGTGCTTGGCACATACTAAACTGTTAATAAACATTTGTTGAATGAATCAGAGATAGCAAAATACATAGTTAATGAAACAGCATTTTTAATTTACCTGAGTCTACTGCTAATATGTTAATTTCTAATCTCCCAGAAAAAATATTCTACTTAGTTTTAAAAACAATTTTACTTTTAAAAATTGAACATTTATTATGACCCACGGTTTCAATAATAATAATAATAATAATAATAATACTAATAATAACAATAATATATACTTACAGAGGATAGCCATTTATGAGTTCCATGACCACTGCATGGCGATTATAATCAATTGGCTTCGGAACTGGAAATTTCCTCTCATGCAATGCCTAAAACATAGCAAACATCATAATCTAATCAAGAGGTCATTAATTTTTAAGGAACAATGAAAGAAATATATCTGCTCACAACAAGAAAAAAAATCCAAGCCTTTACAAAATTACGGTTAACACATGATTATTTGTATATGACTTAATCACAGCACAGAATGAGCTATACTTAAAAAAAAAAAAAAAAATTAAGCCAGTTTACTTAATTCACATTTTCAACAAATACTCATTTATTGAACATTTACTAAATATTTTATACTCTGCTAGGATTACAAATGTGATTGTGAAAAAAATCTCTGCCTTTAGGATATATTCTGTATACTTTTCTAAGTTTTTGCATTTATTGGAATATGCTTAAAAAAATAAAATAAAAATATAGTGTGACTTAGGAAAGACTCTCTCGTGACACATTAAGGAATGAAATATTCCAATAGATTAGGCATTTCAGTTTATAGAGCACTGACCTTTTCTTCAGACCAAATATGATATACACATTGTTGTATAATAGTCTGAGTCAAATGTTACTTCAGCCCTGGCTGGTGTGCCCAGCGATTAGCGCATCTGCCCTCGCACTGAAGGGTCGCCAGCAGTGCATGGGTTGCTGGCTAGATCCCCGGCTCCAATAGGGGAATGTGCTAGGGGTAGCCAACTGAAGTGTCTCTCTCACATCAATGTTTTTCTCTCTCCCAACACTCCAACCCTCCCTCCCTCCCTCCTACTCTCTAAAAAAATCAATGGAAAAATTATCCTTGGATGAGGATTAACAACAAAGAAAGTTACTTCAGATCATCCATAGATCCATCTTTTCTCCTATGCTTAACTTTTTCTATAATGAAGCTGAAATGAACAATTATTTAAAAAATACCTTCATATAGGCAAATTCTTTCATGGCAGAGAGACGAGATAAATAAAGCCAAGACACATTATGCCTGTGTTTATGGTAATCACGCTTGTTTTTCAGATTTCGAAAGGAGGTTCTTCCCAGTCTGTGAAGCTTTAATGCAAATTGCTGGCCTTCTTCATTTGCAACAATATAAATATCTAGAGCCAAGATTTAAAAAGAACATTATTATACCTTTGTGCTTTGTCTGATTTTATATGTATCAAAATTTTATCTTTCCTAAACACCAGAAATACCAGCCAGCCAGCAAATTTTTCTTTATTTAATTACAATCCAAAATGATTATGACGACATGTATTTAATATCTACTATAAACAAACAAACAGGGATGCAATGTGTCAAAGGATATTGTTTCTAAAGGAGATCAATGCTCAACTCAATTTAGTGGGAAAACATCTAATTTAATTGTTCCTTAGTGTCCCATATGTATAAGAAGTGACTTAATAATATTTTCCTGTTCAAAAACAAGTTCACTTAAACAACTGCTTCAATGAATAATATTCAGCTGTCAGCATATAATCCCATAATTAGATGAAATAGATATTTCCTTAAGTATTCCATCTGTCAAGACAAGTTGTTATTTGTAATATTAAAATGTAAAATATGTCCTAATTATTTATGGGAAACTTTATTACTGTACTTACCAAGAAATAGCCTCTTTCTTACATTGGTGGGATTATAAATTGGTGAAAACATTTTGGAGGGAAATTTGGTAATATCACACTTTTAAAGAGTACATAATTTTTAAGAATGTGTTTAACAACTAGGACTAGTAAAATCAATTATGGATTGATGGTAGCACCAGCAACTATGAGAGACAAATCTGCTGATGTGAAATATCAGGGATGCATCAAATGGAAAAAGATCAAGGTGCAGAATAACAAGTACTGTCTGCTTTTACCTGATATTAAAAAGATATGTGACTGTGTACATATGTATGCTTAATACAGTATAGATTTGTATTTATACAAGTTTTTAGAATATTTCAAGAAGGATATGCAGGATATCAATAAACAATGATAGCTTTGGGAAGTAATAACAAGAGATTAAGACCTGGGTTAGGGATGAGATTACTTTCTTGTTGTACTCTCTTTTGTACTATTTGTCATTTTTTAAGAAAAAAGTTCTTAAAAAAAAGCCATTATTTTTTAAATTGAAAAATATTGGACATAAATTAAGAGAAAGTGTAGCTCAAAAGATATTTCATTTTCTTGTTTTATATATTGTATACACACATACACACACTACTTTATTTAGCACTTATATTACTTATTCAATATATACCATAATCTGCATATTAATACAGAAGATATACAAACCATCTGAAATATATAGCAACCTCTTTTGGAGTAGGCTTCCTAATAATTCTTTTTCTCTCAACTTTAATTTTCCTTCCTCAGTTCAGATAAACAATATAATTATATAAGATAAACTGTATTGGATAAAAAAAAGTGTATAGCCCTGACTGGTTTGGCTGTAGATAGAGCGTCAGCCTGCGGACTCAGAAGTCCTGGGTTTGATGCCGGTCAGGGGCTTGTACCTTGGTTGCAGGCACATCCCCAGTGGGCGTGTGTGCAGGAGGCAGCTGATTGGTGTTTCTTTCTCATCAATGTTTCTAACTTTCTATCCATCTCTCTTCCTCTCTGTAAAAAATCAATAAAATATATATTTTTAAAAAGTATATAAAATCATTCCCTGTTCTTCCTTTCTACCTGTCTTCCACATAGAAAATACATACATAAATATTTTCTATGTGGAAGACAGGTAGAAATGTATTTTAGAATGCTTTTCTATGTTTTATACATACCCAACTTTGCCTTATTGATCATATTACTCTGAAGAAAAAGTTTGTGGTTTTTAGATATTCAGTCATCTAGTACTTCTTTATGTTACATATTTTAGCTATTACAAACATCCAATTTAACAGATTAAGAACAAATAAAGTATTTGCCAAAGATTTCAATTAGAGGAAAACTAATTCTTGGTATACTTAATTTTCAATAATACTTATGACAAAGTAATGATCCACTATACTCAAGGTAAGGAAAATGCATTCAATAGTACTGTTAGTACTTACCTGATTCTTTGCCAACACCCATCTGGTTTCCAACAGACTCAACTACCTGTCTAGAAGAAAGAGTTTTCAAAGCTAGGTAGTCATAGCCCGCATTTGTCAACCGATAGCCCTGGACAGCTAGACAAAAGCAAAGGAGAAAGATCATATTTTAGTTACATTGAACCACTAAGTCACATCAGTTCAAGTCATGAGAATTTAAATACGGGAAATCTTAGCTGGAAAGGATTAGCTATCCAGTTTTACAAGTTTAGCATTTCTTCCTATAATTTGTGTTTCTTCTCTAGAGTTGTGTTACTCAAAGTGTGACCACAGACTGACACCAGTCTATGTTACTAGTCCGTGACGAGATACAGAAACTGAAGTGGTTCAATAATTTTTATATCAATTTGACCAAATTATTTTATGTCTTTAAATCTAATAAGGAATTTGTACTTACATTTTATCAGTTTCATTTTTCTAGTAATGAATTTTTTATTGTTATTTTATAAAAGTATAGATCCATGATAGGCTGAAAAACAGAAACTCACCCATCACCACAAATAGTGTGAGAAGGTCTAGACTAGAGAATCTTGTGGCAGAGTGTATTTTCCAAAGATGTCAGCATCAATATCTATATCCTGCTTGCTCTTATGTAACTGGAATTGCTAATCCTCTACCAGGAGGCACAGACTATTTTTCCACCCTCTTGGATGTGGGTGGGCCCTCTGATTGCTGTAACCCACAGATCACAGAAGTATACTGTCGAAGTTCTGTCAGTTTCTGGTTTGGCAACTTCTGCCTCCTGGAAGGCTTGCTCTGGTGGAAGCCAGTTACAATGAAAAATCATAAATGGTGCCTCAAATACTTACTTTTGGTACGCTCCCAAGCTATGAGTTTATGTTTCACTAATTCTCTTAAAACTTTATTACAACCACCATGTTTAAGGTTGGCTATAGAAGCAATCAAACTGCAGGGAACTATTTCATGGTTCTTCATGCCCATTTCAACCTGAAATTAAAGGAAATATTTTATAATCATAATCAACACAGAGCTGCTATCAAACTTTGCTAAGAAATTAACTTCTCCTCCAAACTTCTCTGACCATGCAGTTCCCTATCCGATTCTGAGATAAAATTACTACGTTCTCTGGATATATTTTAAATCACGGTTTGATATATGATCACTGATATTCATATTCCATCTCACTATTAAATGATATATACTTCAAGAGAAAAGAATAGTTACTGACAAGTGGTAAATACTAAAATATTTGATATCCAAATATTAGTCTTTAAAAACTATAGATATTCTAGATATTTATTAAGAAAGTATTATTGAGAAAGTATATGTAGTATTGTAAAAGATTAAAAAACATGTAAAAATACT